CTTTAATGACAAAGCTGATGGGAAAGTCAAACACAACAATTAGTGCTGCTCCATCTAGGAGCAGCCGGGTCCCAAATGTATTGCTGAAGCTACTTCTAATGTTTAGAAATTCTGATAACAAACGTGGTTTCCAAGCTACAGAGGGCAAAGAGAAGGATGCACAGAAAACAACTGCAATGTTAAAAGGACCCCCTCAAGTCCATGCATAAACACTGTCCTTTCCTAAGTAATGTTGTTGTACTTAAACCCCTCAAATCCGCCGCAGCTGTGCAAGCACAGACAGACAACCCAATCTCTGTCCCAAAGCAAACCAGGGAGAATAAGAACATCGAAGGTAGAGTTTTTGTGAAGGTTAAAGGAGACACATCTGTAAAGTGCTGAACATCACCTGCAAGCAGGGAAAGCCCCCCAAGAGCATCGTTACCAGCACGGAAAGTTTGTAATGACATCAGGAAAGTTTCTTCCACAATGTTAACTTGTTTTAAACATCAAATGAGATATAAAGCACATAAACTACATTTAAAAAGCAGCATATGTAGAAAAACTGATATTTAGGTGATCAGATTCTGAGCGGTTTTCTTTTCATAGCTTTCTGAACTTTCTAAACTATCTACAATGGGCTCCATTTCTTATAACTTAAAAAAAAAAAAAAGATATTTAATCCATAGGCTTCTACTACTAACAACTCATTCATTCTTTACTGGTAATTCAACCAAAACATAAAGATTACCTTTTGTGCCGTAGGAGTTTAGACATGCTGGTGAAGGTCCAGCCACAACTGTCAGAGTCACAAATAAAAGGTCTTTCACCTTAGAAAAGAAAAAATTACACCACATAAGCATAAATGCAAGCTACCACAAAGACAAATCTTAGGTGCAAATAATGTATTCTCTAGCTCATTACCTGTATGACTTCTCAGGTGAATTTTCAGGCGACAGGCTTTGTCATATTGTTTGCTGCACCCAGGAAAAGAACAAGAAAAGAGTTCTTGTTCCCTAAAGTGGGCTCGGTTATGGGAAAACAGAGCACTCACTGTGATGAATGTCTTCTCGCAGCCTAAACGAAGAAAACACAAACCCTGCTCACTGGTGTGACAAAAATCACATAACACAGCTAAACTAGTTACCGCTCCAGGACACTATTCACACTGAAGCAGATGAGAGAAAATGAGTCAGAAGCACTTCCAGAAAGTTACATTCACTGTTACAACCACTGACTTCTGGCTTTGTAATAGTGACTAAGGGGAGCCAATAAGCACACGCAGGCCACCTGTTGTGATGTGACTTGGATATGAAGCAAGTGATCAAAGGAAAGTCCTCCAATCACAGCCACGTGCTCCCATTTCCATAGCATGGATCTTTCTCACATTTTGTGAACTCAAATGTCAACGCTGTCTGTGTGAGGCCAAAGAAAAGCCAAGGAGAGAAATTAGATACTAAGGAACAAGGAAACTATCTGGGAGGGTTAAACTTGGAAGGGCCACAAACCATTGTTCTGAGACTCGTCCGCCTCCACAGGTGAGCCTGTGTCCTCTACAATTACAAATGTGCTCCCTGACATCCTGTGTACACGACAGCAGCTCCTGCTGTCACCTGGCTTCTCCTTTTGCCTATTTCACCAGGATTCCCTGACATCAAAGAAGGCTATCAGGGTCATCTTCATTCATAACGACCATTTCTTTCACTCCCATCTTCAACCCCAGCTGAGCCACCAGAAAGGAGCCTACCTCAGCAATCCCCAGACTTCCCCCATCAATTGGCTCTCCTTTGACAAAAAGGTTCAGTGCTTAAATAGAGTAGAAAATACCAGGTTGCAAGATGCTGACCAGGTAGCTTTGTGGCAGCTCTTTCCAGAGCCTTTAATATGCTACCACTGTGCCAAGCAGATATATGCTGCACATCACTGCCTCAAAGCACTAGTCCCAGGAACCCTACTTTCCCTGCCAACATTTCACTGGGAAATGCTTAACTTCCTAAATGCCCTAAAATCCTCCTCTTCCTCAGCATAAATCTGCCCTCCCTCCCTACTCTATTTGGGCTTTGGTGTACTCACGTTCTCCCAAGAAGTAAATTTCTCTGCTTTAGCAAGAACTGCCCTCCCTGCAATCAACAGTCAAGTACTTTGATCCTGCCCCCTGCAATCCTTCCTACATGGAACCCCCACCACCACCATTCCCACTGCCTCAGTGAACTCTGGTCTAGAACACTGAATGGGGCGTCACTGGTCCCTCCCCTGAACCCACCCATGTTGAACACCATGGATCATCCAACCCAAAACTCTCAGGGGGACTTCTCACCCTAAAGCAAGCTAGATCCCTAATCTTCCTAGCATTATACTTGGAATGATGTTCTTTGTGCATTTTATTAGGGAGCACAGTATAAGCCATTGACATTCAGCGTATAAATGAGAAAGGCTCTGAAACAGTGCTCCAAATCTATATTCTCCATGAAGAGGGATGAACAAGACCATCGAAAAGTATGTGAAAAAAAAAATATTAGGACCCATTGATACGTGTTTTTCATTTCTTTTCAAAATCCTTATATTTAAGTGTATTTTATAACATACGCATTACTGTAAGAGCACTGCACATATTTAATACATCAATACACACGCAGGGTGCATGCTAGACACATAGGTGAGGTTTTGTTTTAATGAAGCGGATGTGGAAGGTCCCTCCCACACCCTTCCAACTTTAATCCCCACCTCACAGCACTACGGTGGCCCACATTCCCTGCCTTGGCTTTGCAGTGTCACCCACCAGCACTGCCTTCCACCCCAGTGGCCACAAGACAACTCCTTCCCAGGCAGGAATCTTCTCTTCCTCCTGGGGAGGCACACTCTCCCTCTGAGACCAGCTGAACCTCTCTATCTTGGTGGAGTTCACACTTTCCGAGCCTGCAGATGTAGACAAGGACAGAGAGGAAAGCACCCTTCCCTGGATTTTATCCACATTGCGGGGCCTCACACTGCTCATTCATAAAACGAGGATAATTTTTAAAACTTCCCAAGACCGTGAAGTCCAAAGGAAATAAAAGCATAAAGTGCCAGAAAACTGCACCGCACCACACACCTGTGACTATTCCCTTAGGGCCTTGGGGTGTTGCATCTGGCCAGAGTCATCTGCGTTCCTCCCACACTGGAGCGTGTGCCACGTAAATACCTGCTAACTGAACTCCACTGATGAAAGGTCCCAGAACACAGACACCTGACTCATAAAGCAAATCCCTGGGAAGATGCTTTATCGCCCTCATTAACCTGAAGCACCTTAGGAGGGGCCTGCTGCCTCCACTGAGGGGAAGGCAGGCTGTAATTACTGGCGCTCCCTCGCTCCTGAATCCCCGTGGTAATGCGGGGTGGAAGTGTCAAACCGAAATCACCTGGAGAGAACTGGGACACAAACACCACAGGGCTCCGCTCCCGCCCCTCACTCCGGGCCCACGGAATGTAAATCCTGCCCCGCCGAGCAGAGCAGCCGAGCAGCCGGAGGCGGGCGGACGCCGCACCCGCCCTGCGCGACCGAGTCTGCAGCTGGGGCCCTGGCAGCCCCCCGAAGCCCGCGGCGCGCAGTTACCGGGAAAGTCACACTTGTAGGGCCTCTCAGGTTCGAAGTGGCTGCGCTGATGGGAGCTGAGTTTGGCGTGCGTGGGAAAGCGCTCGGAGCACACCTCGCACTTGAACAAGTTCTCCTGCTCGTGCCCTTTCATGTGAGCCTTGAGGTTGTACACGGTGGTGAACTTCTTGCCGCAGCCGCCCACCGGGCAGCCGAAGGGCCGCAGCTTGTCGTGCGACTGCAGGTGCCGCTTGAGCTTGTAGGAGGTAGTGAAGGCCCAGCCGCAGCCGTCCAGGGGGCACTTGAAGGGCCGCCGGCCCTGGCTGCTGCCGTGCGTCAGCAGGTGCACCTTGAGCTGGTGCTTCTTGGCGAAGGAGAGCGCGCACTGCGGCTCGGGGCAGCGGTATCCCGGGGCGCCGAGGCCGGGTCCCTGGGGGCCGCGGCGGCCCTCGGCCGGGCTCGCGGCCTCCTCTCCCGGCGGCGCGGACGGGCCCCGGGGCGGCGGGCCGGGCTGCGGCGGCGCGGCGGCCAGCGTGAACACGCCGTGATCGAAGCGCACCAGCAGGTCCTGGCTGTTGAGGGTGACGGTGCCCGCGAGGCCCGCGCCGGACCCGGGGGCGGCGGCCGCGCCGCTGGGGCCCTGCGGAGGGCAGCCGGGGGGACTCGCGCCAGCGCCGGGCCCGACCGCCCGCCCCCCGGGGGCCTCGGCCGCCGCCCCGCGAGCCACCTCCAGCAGCACCACGAAGGAGTCGCCGCCGTCCTCGAGGGGCGGGGGCTCGGCCCCGGGCCCGCCGCCGCCGCCGCCGCCCCCGCCTCCCCGCGCAGCGGCCCCGGCCCGCCATCTTCCGGGCCCCGCAGCAGGAGCAGGCGGCGGCGCGCGGGGCCCGCGCCGGGCGGGGGCCCCGGGCCGCGGCGGAGTCTACCGGGGCCGCCGCCGCCGCCATGTTGGGCCCCGCGCGCGGCCGGCGCGGCGAGCAGCTTCGGGAGGTCCATCTCGAGCCCAGCCGCGGCGTCCGGCCGCCGCCTCGGAGGAAGCGCGGTCCGCCCCGCCCAGCCGTGCGCGACGGCGCGACGGGGCGACGCCAAAGCCGGGTGCGGAGCACGGCCGGAGTCGGGGCCCGAGCTGCGCGTGCGCGTAAGGCGCGGGGCGCTGCGCGAGGCCTGCTGGGCTGGGAAGGTCTGCGCCGCGCGAGGCCTGCTGGGCTGGGAAGGGTCTGCGCCGCGCGAGGCCTGCTGGGCTGGGAAGGGTCTACGCCGCGCAGGCGCGTCCGCGGCGCCTGCCGGGCGGGGGCGGGGGCGCTTCCGCCAATCCGGGCCCCCCGGGCTGCGCTCGGCCTCCGTCTGCGGGCCGCGACGCTCGTGTCTGCCACCCGGTAATGGGTTAGTCACAGCAGCCGACTGCCTTCTCCCTCGCGGGTGTGGAGAGACTGAGGCGCAAGCAGCTTGAGTCTCGTACCCGACGTCACAACCGCCGGGAACCGGGAGTCCGCCTCGGGCAGCAGGCCCGGCGCCGCAGGCCGCGGCTCACAGACCTGGTGCGCCCCGCCCCCCCCGCACTCTTCCCTCTGCATCCCCCACTGAACTCCGCCCCCCCGCGTACACTTCCCCCTGCTTCCCCCACTGAACTACGCCCCCCCCACCCTTCCCCCTGCTTCCCCCACTGAACTCCGCCCCCCCATTCTTCCTCCTGCTTCCCCCACTGAACTCCGCCCCCCCCCACACTTCCCCCTGCTTCCCCCACTGAACTCCGCCCCCCCCACACTTCCCCCTGCTTCCCCCACTGAACTCCGCCCCCCCACTCTTCCCCCTGCTTCCCCCACTGAACTCCGCCCCCCCCCCCCCCGCACGCTTCCCCCTGCTTCCCCACTGAGCTCCGCCCCCCCAACTCTTCCCCCTGCTTCCCCCACTGAACTCCGCCCCCCCCACTCTTCCCCCTGCTTCCCCCACTGAACTCCGCCCCCCCACTCTTCCCCCTGCTTCCCCCACTGAACTCCGCCCCCCCACTCTTCCCCCTGCTTCCCCCACTGAACTCCGCCCCCCCCCCGCACTCTTCCCCTGATTCCCCCACTGAACTCCGCCCCCCCCCCCGCACTCTTCCCCCTGCTTCCCCCACTGAACTCCGGCCCCCCCACACTTCCCCCTGCTTCCCCCACTGAACTCCGCCCCCCCCACACTTCCCCCTGCTTCCCCCACTGAACTCCGCCCCCCCACTCTTCCCCCTGCTTCCCCCACTGAACTCCGCCCCCCCCCCCCCCCGCACGCTTCCCCCCTGCTTCCCCACTGAACTCCGCCCCCCCCAACTCTTCCCCCTGCTTCCCCCACTGAACTCCGCCCCCCCCACTCTTCCCCCTGCTTCCCCCACTGAACTCCGCCCCCCCACTCTTCCCCCTGCTTCCCCCACTGAACTCCGCCCCCCCACTCTTCCCCCTGCTTCCCCCACTGAACTCCGCCCCCCCCCCCCGCACTCTTCCCCCTGCTTCCCCCACTGAACTCCGCCCCCCCCCCCGCACTCTTCCCCCTGCTTCCCCCACTGAACTCCGCCCCCCCACACTTCCCCCTGCTTCCCCCACTGAACTCCGCCCCCCCCCCGCACTCTTCCCCCTGCTTCCCCCACTGAACTCCGCCCCCCCCCCCGCACACTTCCCCCTGCTTCCCCCACTGAACTCCGCCCCCCCCACTCTTCCCCCTGCTTCCCCCACTGAACTCCGCCCCCCCACTCTTCCCCCTGCTTCCCCCACTGAACTCCGCCCCCCCCCCGCACTCTTCCCCCTGCTTCCCCACTGAGCTCCGCCCCCCCCACTCTTCCCCCTGCTTCCCCACTGAACTCCGCCCCCCCCCCCCGCACTCTTCCCCCTGCTTCCCCCACTGACCTCGCCCCCCCACACTTCCCCCTGCTTCCCCCACTGAACTCCGCCCCCCCCACTCTTCCTCCTGCTTCCCCCACTGAACTCCGCCCCCCCCACACTTCCCCCTGCTTCCCCCACTGAACTCCTCCCCCCCACACTTCCCCCTGCTTCCCCCACTGAACTCCGCCCCCCCACTCTTCCCCCTGCTTCCCCCACTGAACTCCGCCCCCCCCCCCACTCTTCCCCCTGCTTCCCCACTGACTCCGCCGCCCCACTCTTCCCCTGCTTCCCCCACTGAACTCCGCCCCCCCACTCTTCCCCCTGCTTCCCCCACTGAACTCCGCCCCCCCCCGCACTCTTCCCCCTGCTTCCCCACTGAGCTCCGCCCCCCCACTCTTCCCCCTGCTTCCCCCACTGAACTCCGCCCCCCCCCCGCACTCTTCCCCCTGCTTCCCCCACTGACCTCGGCCCCCCCACACTTCCCCCTGCTTCCCCCACTGAACTCCGCCCCCCCACTCTTCCTCCTGCTTCCCCACTGAACTCCGCCCCCCCCACACTTCCCCCTGCTTCCCCCACTGAACTCCTCCCCCCCACACTTCCCCCTGCTTCCCCCACTGAACTCCGCCCCCCACTCTTCCCCCTGCTTCCCCCACTGAACTCCGCCCCCCCCACTCTTCCCCTGCTTCCCCACTGAGCTCCGCCCCCCCACTCTTCCCCCTGCTTCCCCCACTGAACTCCGCCCCCCCCCCGCACTCTTCCCCCTGCTTCCCCCACTGAACTCCGCCCCCCCCCCCGCACACTTCCCCCTGCTTCCCCCACTGAACTCCGCCCCCCCGCACTCTTCCCCCTGCTTCCCCACTGAACTCGCCCCCCCACACTTCCCCCTGCTTCCCCCACTGAACTCCGCCCCCCCCACTCTTCCCCCTGCTTCCCCCACTGAACTCCGCCCCCTCCCCGCACACTTCCCCTGCTTCCCCCACTGAACTCCGCCCCCCCACTCTTCCCCCTGCTTCCCCCACTGAACTCCGCCCCCCCCACTCTTCCCCCTGCTTCCCCCACTGAACTCCGCCCCCCCCCCGCACTCTTCCCCCTGCTTCCCCCACTGAACTCCGCCCCCCCACACTTCCCCCTGCTTCCCCCACTGAACTCCGCCCCCCCATTCTTCCCCTGCTTCCCCCACTGAACTCCGCCCCCCCCCACTTCCCCCTGCTTCCCCCACTGAACTCCGCCCCCCCCCACTTCCCCCTGCTTCCCCCACTGAACTCCGCCCCCCCACTCTTCCCCTGCTTCCCCCACTGAACTCCGCCCCCCCCCCCCCCCCGCACTCTTCCCCCTGCTTCCCCACTGAGCTCCGCCCCCCCAACTCTTCCCCCTGCTTCCCCCACTGAACTCCGCCCCCCCCCCCCGCACTCTTCCCCCTGCTTCCCCCACTGAACCCCGCCCCCCCGACTCTTCCCCCTGCTTCCCCCACTGAACTCCGCCCCCCCCACTCCTCCCCCTGCTTCCCCCACTGAACTCCGCCCCCCCCACTCTTCCCCGATTCCCCCACTGAACTCCGCCCCCCCACTCCTCCCCCTGCTTCCCCCACTGAACTCCGCCCCCCCCACTCTTCCCCCTGCTTCCCCCACTGAACTCCGCCCCCCCACTCTTCCCCCTGCTTCCCCCACTGAACTCCGCCCCCCCTTCCACCTGCTTCCCCCACTGAACTCCACCCCCCCCCTCCCACCTGCATCCCCCACTGAACTCTGCCCCAGCCTCGTTCACTGTTGCCTGAAGCCTCGCCCCACCGCTTGACCCGGACTCTGTCCGCAGCCCCTCCGCTCTGCCTCCCATCGCTGGCCTCGGGTCCAAGCCCCTATTTCGCGGCTCTCCTCTTGCGGGGGACACCGCCATGGACCCCGGCCCGCGTCACCCTTCGGCCCAACCTAGCCTCTCCGGGGATCCTCCAAAAACGTAGTCAGTTGTGCCCCGCTCTGCGTGTCACTGCTCTCCCAGCCTGGCTGGCCGCCCCCGGGCCCCCCTGCCTTGCCCGCCCCCAAGGCTCCCCCATCGTTTTCCATTTCCTCCAACCGGCCAAGCTGCTTGTGCACCGCACAGCCCCCTGGTCTCTGATCCCTCCGGGAAGACCGGCCTCCTGATCAGGCATGGCCTCACCCAGCGCCCTCTTCTCCTCCTCCCCCCTGATGGGTCACCTCTTCTAGCTCTGTTACTGTTGTTGGTTTTGCCCTTGCCTGGAGAATTCATTGTCCGTGTCCCCCTCCAGGGTGTAGACTCGTTTTGGACAGGAATGGTGCCCATCTCATTCACAGCTGTGCGCCCAGAAGCTAGCAGCAAAGACTCTCAGTGAACTTTTATTGATGAATGCTTTATTATTAAAAGTACTTTAAATACAAGATATATGTATGAATTTATGTCCCAAAATATAGACCATTCAATAATAATTCGTCCATTCACTATTGGACGAAAGAATAATCTTTTGCACAAACGGTCCTAGGACAAGTGGATATCCACAGGTGAAAGAATGAGTTCGGACCCCTACCTTCCACCAGACACAAAAAGAAACTCAAAATGGATCAAGGACCTAAAATGTAAGAGAGAAAACTAAAAACTAGTAGAAGAAAACAGTATTTGTGACCTAGGATTACGGGATGATAGCCTAGATATGAAACTAAAAGCACACACAATGAAGGAAATAAAGTGGGCTTGGTCAATACCGAAAACTCCTTTAAGTCAAAGAACAGCAGAAAGAAAATGAAAAGGAACCCACAGACTAGGAGAAAACTGCAAATCCTATATCTGATAAGCAACTACTGCATAGAACATATATTTAAAAACCCATGATTCAACAGCAAAAAGACCACCCAATTTAAAAACAAAGGATTTGAATAGACCTCTCTCAAATGTCTATTCAAATAGACATGTACAAATGGCCAATAAGTACCTGAGAAGATGCTCAACAGCATTACTCATTAGGGAAATGCATATCAAAACCACAAGGAGGTAACATTCCTTATCCTGTAAGAACAATTTTTTTTTTTTAATGAAGGAGAAGTGTGAAAATGAAAAGTTGGAACTCTCATACATTTCTGCTGGAAATTTAAAACTATGAAGCCAGTGTGCAAGGAAGCTTGGCAGTTCCTCAAAAAGTTAAATATAGAATTTTCATGTGACCCAGCAATTCCACTCCTAGGCATATGCCCAAGAGGAATGAAAAGACATTCACACAACAACTTGTTTGTGAATGGTCATAGTGGCATTATTTGTAATGCTGCATAATAAAAAGTGGAAACAACCAAGTGTCCATCAACAGACAAATGGGTAGACGGAATGCACACAATGGAATATTATTCAGCCATAAATAGGAATGAAGTACTGATACAGGCTACAACATGAGTGAACCTTTAAAACATGCAAAGGGGAAAAAGCCAGACACAAAACACTATGTACTATGGGTTTCCACTGGTATACCCAGAAAAGGTAAATCCATAGAGCCAGAAAGTAGATTAGTAGTTGCCAGGGGACAGAAAGGGAGGGAAAACTGGAAATCATGGCAATGCACTATAGTGTTTCTTTTTGGCATGATGGAAATGCCCTGGAATCAGACAATGGTGATGGGTATGTAAGACAGTTGAATATACTAAAAACCACTGACTTGTACACTTTAAAATAGTTCTGATTATGTTCTGATTGACTCTGCTAAAAATGTATTGTTGGGAAAAATCATTGTCAAACATTGTTTAGAAGGACCCCATTTGTATAAGGAGAGAAAACTATACCTATGTTTACATGCTTGCATATCCTTAGAAAGTTTCTAGAAATATACACAAGGCACTGCTAGTACTTGTGACTACTTCTAAAGTGAGGTGGGGAAAAGCACCTTCACTTAGTACTTCTTTTCTGTTGGCACTATTTGCTTTTATTTTTTTTTAAGATTTTTGTTTATTCACAAGAGACAGAGAGAGGCAGAGGGAGAAAAGCAGGCTGCATGCAGGGAGCCCAATGTGGGACTCGATGCTGGAACTCCAGGACCACACCCTGAGCTGAAGGCAGACGCTCAACCGCTGAGCCACCCAGGCATCCCCTATTTGCTTTTGTTTTATTTTTTTTTAATTTTTATTTATTTATGATAGTCACACAGTGAGAGAGAGAGAGGCAGAGACACAGGCAGAGGGAGAAGCAGGTTCCATGCACCGGGAGCCCGACGTGGGATTCGATCCCGGGTCTCCAGGATCACGCCCTGGGCCAAAGGCAAGCGCCAAACCACTGCGCCACCCAGGGATCCCTTTGCTTTTGTTTTAGATCATGAGTGGGATTTGTTTTTGTTTTTGTTGTTTTATTTTAATTCCAGTGTAATTAACATACAGTATTATGTTAGTTTCCAGTGCACAATATAGTGAGTGATTCAACAATTCTAAACATTACTTAGTGCTCATCAAAATAAGTGTACTCTTAATTGCTTTCACCTATTTCACCCATCCCTCCCCTCTCATAACCACTAATTTGTTCTCTGTATTTAAGAGTCCAGTCTCTTGTTCATCTCTTTTTTTCTGTTTCTTAAATTCCACATGAGTGAAATCATATGGTATTATCTTTCTCTGGCTTACCACCCATGTCATTGCAAATGGCAAGATGTCATTCTTTTTTATGGCCAAGTAATATTTCGTTTTGTGTGTTGTGTGTGTGTGTTGTGTGTGTGTGTATCATATCTTCTTTATCCATTCAACTGTCGATGAATATTTGGGCTGCTTCCTTAACTTGATTATTGTAAATAATGCAGCTATGAACATAGGAATGCATGTATCCCTTTAGATTAGTGTTTTTGTATTATTTGGGTAAATACTCAGTAGTCCAATTACTGGATCATAGGGTAGTTCTATTTTTAACTTTTTGAGGAACCTCCATACTGTTTTCCACAGTGGCTATACTGGTTTGGATTCCCACCAACAGGGTGAGAGGGTTCCCCTTTCTCCACAGCCTCGCCAACACTTGTTGTTTCTTGTGTTGCTGATTTTAGCCATTCTGACAGTTGGTATTTTATTGTAGTTTTGATTTGCATTTCCATGACAAAGATTGGTGGTGAGCATCTTTTCATGTGTCTGTTAACCATCTATATGTCTTCTTTGGAGAAATGTCTGTTCACATCTTCTGCCCATTTTTAAATTGGATTATTTGGGTTTTTTGGGCATTGAGCTATATAAGTTCTTTATATACTGTGGATATGAACCCTTTATTAGATATGTCATTTGCAGATACTTTCTCCCATTCCATAGATTGCCATTTAGTTTTGTTGATTGTTTCCTTGGCTGTGTAGAAGCTTTTAATTTTGATGTAGTCCCAATAGTTTAATTTTGCTTTTGTTCCCCTTGTCTCAGGAGACATATCTAGAAAAATGTTGCTATGGTCAGTGTCAGAGAAATTACTGTCTATACTCTCTTCTAGGATTTTTATGGTTTCAGGTCTCATATTTAAGTCTTTCACCCATTTTGAATTTATTTTTGTGTATGGTGAAGAAAGTGGTCCAGCTTCATTCTTATGCTTGTAGTTGTCCAGTTTTCCCAACACCATTTGTTGAAGAGACTGTCCTTTTCCCATTGGATATTCTTGCCTCCTTTGTCAAAGTTAATTGACCATATAATCATGGGTGTCTTTCTGGGTTCTCTAGTCTGTTCCATTGAGCTACGTATCTATTTTAGTGCTAGTATCATACTGTTTTGATGACTACAGCTTTGTAGTGTATCTTGAAATGTGGGATTGTGATACCTCCAGTTTTGTTCTTTTTCAATTTTGCTTTGGCTATTTGAGATTTTTTTTTGTGGTTCTATACAAATTTTAGGATCATTTGTTCTAGTTCTGTGAAAAATGCTGTTCATAATTTTGATAGCGATTGCATTAAATCTGTAGATTGCTCTGGGTAATATAGATATTTAAAAAATATTTATCCTCCCAATCCATGAGCATGGAATTCTTTCCATTTATTTGTACCATTTTCAGTTTGTTTCATCAATATTTATAGTTTTCAGAATACAGGTCTTTCTCTTCCTTGGTTAAACTTATTTCTAGGTATTTCATTATTTTTGGTGCAATTGTAAATGGGATTGTTGTCTTAATTTCTCTTTCTGTATTTAGTCATTAGTGTATAGAAATGCAATGGATTTCTGTATACTGACTTTGTATCCTGCAACTTTACTGAATCCATTTATCAGTTCTTTTTTTTCCCCCATTTATCAGTTCTAATAGTTTTTCTAGAAATCCTTCAGGTTTTCTACATATAGTATCTTTTCATATATAAATAGTGACAGTTTTACTTCTTCCTTACTAATTTGGATACCTTTTATTTCTCATTGCTGTGGCTAGAACTTCCAGGACTATGTTGAATAAAAGTGGTGAGAGTAGACATCCTGGTCTTGTTTCAGACCTGAGGGGAAAAGCTCTTTGTTTTTCCCCATTGACTATGAGGTTTTTCATATGTTGAGGTATGTTCTCTCTAGAGGGAAAGGTTAAAGGTTTTCATCATAAGTAGACATTGTACTTTATCAAGTGAATTCTCTGCATCTATTGAAATGATCACATGGTTTTTATCCTTTCTTTTATTCATGTGTTGTATCATGTTGATTGATTCCCAAATCCTGAACTACCCTTGCATCTCAGGAATACATCCCACTTGATTCTGGTGAATGATACTTTTAATGTATTGTTGGATTCAGTTTGCTAATATTTTGTTGAGACTTTTTCTTTGTTCATGAGAGATATTTGGTAACTATAGAATTCTTAAGATCATGAGTGTTTTTAAAGTAATTTTTATAATTAAATAATTTTTTTCCACTATGGAAAACAGTATGTGGTTCTTCAAAAACTCAACATAGAATTACCATGTGATCCAGCAATTCCATTCCTGGGTAAATACTGAAAAGAACTGAAAGCAGAGACTCAGGTATTCATACAGCCATGTACATAGCAACATTATTCATAGTAGCCAAAAGGTAGAATCAATCCAAGTCTGCATTGATGGATAAATAGCTAAACAGAACATGGTGGTTTATGGTTACAATGTACTATTATTTAGTCCTCAAAAGGAAGGAAATCCTGACACGTGTGATAACATAGATGAAGCTTGAGGACATTGTGCTATATGAAATAAACCAATCATAAAAAGGATAAACCCTGTATGATTCCATTTATGTGAGGTCCCTAGAGTTATCAAATTCATAGAGACAGACAGTAGGATGGTGCTTACAGGGGTTGGGATGGACGGAGGGTGAGTTAGGGCTTAGTAGATACGGAGTTTTTCCATTTG